TCCTCCTCCTCCTCCTCCTCCTCCTCCTCCTTCTCCTCCTGCGTCCAGCCGTGGCGACGAGGGAGCCCCCGAAGGGCAGCTGCAGTAAGGGCTCGACCACAAGAAACCTTCCACATGAAACCCCACCCTGAGACCCCAGGACGTCCATCGAGTTTTGGTGTGGGAACGTCACGCCGCTCTCCATGGCAGAACCATCGAAACCCAAGAAACCCAGGGCACCATGGAGGCAAGCAGGGGGGTTTCTTGGCATGGGTCCCCCACTGTATGCCGCTTGTTGTGCTTCGATGTTCCTGCTCTCAAGCTCCTCCGAAAAAATAGCCTCGCGAGGCGAGGAAACGTCAGAAGTCTGGTCCTCCCCTAAGTCCTAGCCGACGGCGGCGGCGGCGACGGGGGCCCCGCTGAGCCGCCGGCGGATCCTCGCCGCTCCCGGAGCTCATGCGCATCGCAGAGGCCATGCGCGAGGCGAGCTGCGCCAGGGCCTCGCCGCAGAGCGAGCACGGCACGAGGGCGCGCGAGCACGCCGCGCGCGCGCGATCCACGAGTGCCTCGCGCGATCGCCGCGACAGCTCGAGCGGGCGTGATCGAGCGCGCACGGGCCATTTACTCCCTCGCGCCCCGCACTCATGCCCTCCTCCTCCTCCTCCTCTCTCATCTCCTCCTCCTCCTCCTCCTCCTCATCCTCCTCCACCTCCTCCTCCCATTCCTCCTGCCATGCTCGAAAGCAGGGGGGCCAGGCGGGGATCTGCGCCGCCTTCCTCTCCGCCGTGCTGTCTAGAAGCCCACAAAAGCGGGCTACGGTTGAACACTTCGCGGCCCCCCCCGAAGGAGCCGCGCAATCTCGGCTGGGTTCGCGCTGTCCTCACCCCCGCCGCACCGCCCAGGAGCCCGCGAAAATTTGGACAACTGCGCACTCCGCCGCCCCCGGGGAGCCGCGAGATCTCGGCTGGGAGCCCACGAGAGTGGCACCAGCTGCGCAGATCGCAACCCACCCCCCCCAGGGAGCAGCGAGGTCTCGGCTGGGCGCACATGGGCACCCCGCTGGACCTCCCAAGAGCCCGCGAGGATGACGACAATTGCGCAGGGCGCAGCCACCCGGGGAGCCGCGAGGGTCTCGGCGGGATGCGCGTGGCCCACCACTCCGCTGGACCTCCCAGGAGCCCGCGGCCGTTGCGCAGACCGCGGCCACCTCCTGGGAGCCGCGAGGGTCTCGCCTGGGCGCGCGGGGCCCTCCACGCCGCTGGACATCCCAGGAGCCCGCGGGATGGGCGACGGACAGCTGAACAATTCGCAGCCGCCCAAGAAGCCACGAGGTCCCGTCTGGATGCGCGCACAACTCCACTCCGCTGGCCCGCCCATGAGCCCACGAAAGTGGCGACAGGTGCGCATTTCACAACCACCCAGGGAGCCACAAGGTCCCGTCTGGATGCGCCCGCAACCCCACCCCGCTGGACCTTCCAAGAGCACACGAAAGTGGCGACAGGTGCGCAGTTCGCAGCCACCCAGGGAGCGGCAAAGGAGGAGGCAGGAGGAGGGGGGAGGAGGACGGGGGGTGGTGGTGGTGGAGATTGTGATATGGAAACGAAGTCGCGGTCGACTGGCGATGCAAGCAACTGACGAAAACCCTCGAAACTCAAGACGCTTACGAAAGGGCGAGCCAGAGGACAGCACCGTGCCTGCGAAGTCTGAGATGCTCTCCAGAGAGCGAGCCTCCTGCGCCGCATCTCCTTGGCTGCTGCACGACTCGCTGCAAGTAGGGCGATCTGCTCAGCCGCGAAAGCCAGGGGGGGCGAAAGAGGGAGGAGGCGGGGATGGGCTTAATTAGGTCGGGCATGTCCTCCTACAGGCGGATGTTCGAAGAACATTGAAAACATAATCAAAAAATGCACCAGAACAATCAGAAAGTCAAAATCCGATGTTTTAACTACTTTTGAACCTTCATGCTGTAGAGGGGCATACCCGACTTCAGGATGGGCAGAAAGTGAGCGTTTTCTGATTCGGCGTTTCGACATTGGGTGGGTGGAAGAGGGGGGGAGGGGGGGTTTGGGCTCCAGACCTCTGCCCAATGCGACTGTTTGCAGCAATGCGTCCATCATGAGGGGGGCTCCACCTGCTCGAAACGAGCGCCGAAACAGCCAAGATCTACTCCATACAGTCATCGGCCGGACCTAAGGAACGATGAATAAGGAACGAAGCCCTTTTTTCCAAGGAATAACGCGTAAGGAACGAAAAAGAATAAATAACGCATAAGGAACGATAAATAGCGCATGCAAACCAGAGGAACGACCAAGCCCCTTTTGACAAGTAAGCGTTCGTTAGTCAAGCCGGTCACTGTATGGGGGGGGGGGAGGGGGGGGGTGCGAGGGCGCCCGCGCCGATCGTCAAAACAACGAAAAAAACAACCCACAGAGGGGGGCCGGCCCCCTGGGGCAACCTGCCCTCGGCGTCCGCCTCGCCCTGCGCGCGGGCGCGAGCGGTGGCACGGACACCTCAGGGTCCAGGTCAGGCTCGCCGGTCGGGGGCGGCGGAAGAGGAGGAGCAGGAGGAGGAAGAGGAGGAAGAGGAGGATTCCAATTCCGGCGGCGATCGAGGGGGGGAAGTGAGACGGAGAAGGCCTTTTCAGAAGGCGGCGGAACTTCTCAGAAGCCCTCGCGCCTCAGGAGAAGTGTTCTGCGTCTTCGGGGAAGGCTCGGAAGACTTCTCAGAAGGCCCAGGGGGCTTGCAGACCTTCTGAGAAGGCCTTCTCCTTCCCACTTCCCCCCTCGCTCGCCGCCGACGGACACCTCCCAGGTCACGGTCGCTGGGGGGAGGGGGACAAGCCACGCGCTCTAAACACATCCAATCCAAATGATTCAGGGTCGCCTCTAGACCCGGGCTGGAAAAAGTCCAGCCCATCAGAGTTCCAAGCTACATACAACTCCCTGCATGCGTCACACATGTGCTCCAGGTCTATCTTACGGTGAGCGTCGGCATCGAAAACGCTGGCCATGGACTGTTAAACTCCCAGGGCGATGGCACGACACATTCTGCTCGGGTACGTACTTGTGGCGGCTGTCCTGAGAGAGCCGTCCGCCGATCTGCCCCGTCAGTAATGCATGGGCACCCTTTGCCGCGTGGGCACCTGCCCTCGCTGGTGGCCGCCAGGGCCGGGCACAGAGCGGGCGGGCGCACCGAGAGTATGTGCGTGGGTGATTCCATACGCTGAAGGGCCCCCGTCCTGGAAGCGGCACTGGTCGAGCGCGCATGTAACGGCCATCGAAGCACTGGCCATCGCTCGGACGTCCATTCCCTGTGTTTTTTTCGGTTTCGTGCGTGGTTTTTTCGCCAAATGATCAAGGATGCTCCTCGATCCTCGATGGTCCTCGCCGAAGGAGAAATGCACACGTCCGAGCGATGCCAAGAGCACTCGACAGGGCTCTCAGCTGGCCCCACGTGAGGGAAGCGGGCGCTCGGGCCCTCCGTACAGCAGGCGACGGGCGCTCCGTCCCAGCCCCCCGCAGCCCAGCCTCCAAGTAGGATCCTGGCTGCTTCGCGATGGCTTGCAACAGGCTGCTGCCTACAACTACTCCCTCTGTTTCGACAAAGTAGAGTCCTGGCTGCTTCGCGATGGCTTGCAACAGGCTGCTACCCCTACCTCCAACTGCTCCCTCGCTTTCGACAGAGCCCACGGCATGCCCCACGTGTAGTCGTCAGTGCGCACGGGGGTGGGGGTTCCAACCACTCAGCGGCACACCACGTTTCACCTGGGGCCAACTCCCCCGTATCCCAAACCCTCCTGGACTTGATGTGAGACGCCCACTCCGTAGCCGTGCTGCTGTTGGACAAATCTCCCTTGATTTAGTGAATTGCAAGATAGCTGCAGCGTCGGTATGAGACTGGTGTCGCCTTCTAAGCGCCTTCCTGATGACAAATTCCGCACAAATGTTTCCACACGTCCAATGCGCGCTGGTATAGCCGATGCCAATACTCCTCAGAAATCCTGTGGCCCATACATGTAGAACCTATCCTCCTGGTTGGTCGGACGTGGGGGGTGCGCCTGAACGGGATCCTCTGCTGGATTTTGCCAGAGAACTTGTTGGGCCTCGTCGTCCACGCTGGAGTCTCAAATGAGACTCTCAGGAGGTATGCGTAGCGTAGCTGGCGTATTGGGATCTCCACCTACCGAGTCCAGCTCTTCTTTGCTGCAGCATGTCGGAAGTGTCCTCCAATGTCCATTGCCTAGCCAACATGGGTGGGACCTCCGCTCCGTGCAAAAGGTACGCCGGGCAGCGCCGGGCCGAGTCGAATACCAAGTGGTTCCTGACCTGCCAGCTGTGCGCAAACTCCGTGGCACAGGCTCTGCACGTATTGAATCCACAGGTGACAACAACATGCTTCACGAATGCGTAGTGCTGCCTAACCACATGCTGTTGGAGAGCCTGCTTGTTGGGGAAGCCCGTGTGGCACCAAGGCCACTCTAGGTGGGACATGCTGTGCCTTTCCTCCTTACGTAACGGGAAGTCGGGATGTGTAGTCGGAAGCGGGACTCCATACTGCCTGACCTATTTGAAAAAGACAACTTCAGCTTCGTCAGCGGACAACAAACGGGGCGTAGCTGCAGCATGCGTTTCCAGCGCATTGTTGAGAAGCCTTCGCCATGCCGAACGAGATCGGATAACCCATAGTGTTCCCATTGCTGCATTGTTTCCTGCGGGTCTGGTAGGTCGTGCAATGTGTTCGTCACGCGTCGTAACCACATCAAATCACCGCACACGCCATGGCCTCCATGTCACAAGTCACGATATGTCACACTGCTGATACGCCATGGACATCATACCTTTCAGCAAGTCCGAACCAATATGGAAGGGGAGAGAGGAGGGGGACGGAGAGGGAGGATGGAGACCACTGTGCTGTCTTCAAAACGAGAACTCATCACAGGAGTGTTGGGAAACTAACAACAAATCAGGGAAGGAGGACGCAGGGAAGGAGGACGAGCGGGAAGAAGAGAGAAGGAAGTATGCGGAAGGGGTAAGGAAGTCGGTTGCACAAGCCGTATGCAACGTTTTTAGAGGCCTCCTAGATTGGGTCGGAGGATCGCGCCGCATCGCCGATATATCGGCGATGCATCTGCGACGTCGACGTGAAGCAAATCGGGTTCCGCATCGAGCCGCATCGCCGATGCATCGGCGATGCGGCGTGATCCTCCGACCCCATCTACTCCGACCCCATCTGGGAGGCCTAGAGGAATTGGAGCTCAGAGAGAGAGAGAGAGAGCGAGAGAGGGAGCACGGGAGGATGTGAGAGGAGAGAGCGAAGAAGAAGATACATTCAGAAAGACGGGCGCCAATGTGCCCCAGGTCCAGGGTCCCCCTCCTCCCAAGCCGATGGTTGCCTTGGAGTTCTGCTTGCGGGCGAGGTCGCGGACGTAGCGCACCGCCTGCCGTGCGAGAGAGGCGAACGGCGGACTGGGGGCTGGGGACACTGGCAAAGAAGAACGAGGACGCCGAAGTGGAGGGGCAGGAGTCGGAGGAGGTTCCATAACCACTGTGGCTTAAGCCTCTGCCTCTTGCAGAGGGAGGGGGAGGGTACTACTGTCATCGCTGGCGGGATCCGCCACTTCTTACAAGCAGATCCCCGACCCACCCACCCCCACACCCGGCTGCATATTGGATGGGCGAAGGGGGGATGAGGGCTCCAGAACCATGTCGACACGGTCTGCAACTTCGAGGCTTCGAGGCTGAGGAGGTGGAGGAAAGAAATGAAGGGGGAATGAGGAGGACAGGGCTCTGGTCGGAGTGGCTATGCTCCAGGAGTGCTCCTCACGAGTGCAGCAGGCGTGGATTAGGGGAACAAAAAGTGGCATAAACATAAAAACTCGGAGGTCCGCGTGGATTTCTCGGATCGGCGCTGGACCCCCCTCCCTGGCGCGCGGAGCGCGCCAGGGGCGGCGCCGGAGGCGCCGCCGGGGGCCCCCAGCGCCGATCCGAGAAATCCGCGCGGACCTCCGAGTTTTTATGTTTATGCCACTTTTTGTTCCCCTATGGATTGCCAAGAGCGGAACATGTGAAACGGATCGCCAAACCCAGCGGAGGCCAAAAAGAGGGAGCAGGGCGGGCCCCCGACGGCCTTCGGGTCACTACTCTCGGGTCTCCCGCGGCCGTGCGGGAGGCGAACCGGGCACCCCCCGCGACGCCCTCGGCGGGGCGCGGCTGCCGGAGAGCACACCCCGAGGAGAGACGCCGGCGGCCCAAGAGAGAGCGCCAGGAAGCCTCGAACCTCTCGAGGGGGCGCAGGAGACGCGACGACGACAACGACGACGACGACGACGACGACGACGACGACGAGGACGACGAGCACACAGGGAGGGGGACGTGGACGAGGAGGAGGGCGAGGAGGGCGGCGGCGGCGAGGGCAGGGCGGAGCAGGGCGGCAGCCCGCGCGCGGCGGCGGGGCCTCGAAGTGGGCCAGGTCTGCGCCCGTGCGGAGCTGCTGGAGGAGGGACACCTGGCAGCGGGGGGGGCGGGCCCGATGCCTGCGCCTCGGGCTCCTTCCCTCCTCCTGCTGCTTCTGCTGCTCCTCCTGCTCCTCCTCCTCCTCCTCCTCATCCTCCTCCTGCTCCTCCTCCTCCTCCTGCTCCTCCTCCTGCTCCTCCTCCTCCTCCTGCTCCTCCTCCTCCTCCTCCTGCTCCTCCTCCTCCTGCTCCTCCTCCATTGAGTAGGTCAGCGGAGAAAATGCATCGCACACATTTCAAGCATGCGCTCGCGAGAGTGGAACTTGCTACACCGGGGGGGGGACGATTTGTTAACACCCCCCCACACATCTCTGAATACACGTTCGGCCATGGAAGAGCCCTCAAGGAGGCTGTCCTGCGAACGTGGCCGAAATTGTGTAGCGAGGAATTGAACTCACACACCATTTTGTCATCACTCCTTGGCGAGTTCGGTGGCCATCCCCGTTTCGTGAGAGCCCCAGCATGCCACAACAAAGTGTGGCCCCTTTTCTCTTTCTCTTTCTCTTTCTCCTTCTTCTTTTTCTTTGTCTTGGGGTACTGGGTGCCGTCAGTCAGCATGCATCGGGAGGCGCTCAACGGTTGATGTCCCCTTGCAGGCCATCAGCAGGAGTGGTCAAAGAGGGGAGACCAAGGACTTGGCTCTCGGCAATGAGTTATGTCCCGTGAGCAACCCCCTGACCGCAAGAGCGGTCAATGAGGGGGCGACCAATCCTCCTCTGCCCTTACCTCCTCCTTCTTCTCCTCCTGCTTGGTCCTTTGTGAGCTGGGGGACCGGTCCTCGATGTTGAACCGGGCGTCTCAGGGTGACCCGAGTAGTCCCCCCTGGCCGCAACAGCGGTCAAGGGGGGGGCGACCAGGGGATTGGCTTTCGGTATCAACCTCGTCTTCCCTCTCCTCCACCTCCTCCGAGCTGAATCATACAGACGAGAATGAAGACTGAATGCCAGATTTATGGACAAGTTTGTGCTGTTTGATGTGGGGCCGTTGTAAAACAAGGATGCCGCCACACAGCCCACGCGGGGGTTAACAAATTGCCCCCCCCCTGTTCAAATTGCGGGGGCAATGGCGTACAGCAGGCAACCGGCAAAACAAGGGTGCCGCCACACACGTTGCTCCGAGCAGCGTGCTTCCAGCCCCCCTGCCCTTTGCCTTCTAAGATGCCTTTGGTGGAGCTTACTCCTCTCGTCCGCCCTCGTGAAGCTCCTTGACTCTTCCTGTAACCGGACGGGTAGGCTGGTTTTTGGGACGGGTCAGGTTGAGTCTGGGGCCGACGGGGGTGGGCGTGTCTCTGGCGACCGCGTCTCAGTCGGTGATTGCAATGGCGCGAGAAGGCGCAACCCCCGCTGCAGTGCGCAGGGCCAGTCGCGCATTGATGAGGGGCTGTTGTAAAACAAGGATGCCGCCACACAGCCCACGCGGGGGGTTAACAAATTCCCCCCCCCCTCCTGTTCAAATTGCGGGGGCGATGGCGTACAGCAGGCAACCGTCAAAACAACAGTGCCGCCACACACGTTGTTCCGAGCAGCGTGCTTCCGGCCCCCCTGCCCTTTGCCTTCTAAGATGCCTTTGGTGGTTGTTTTTTCCCTCTTTGCCGTGGCTCGCGGCCTTTGCAAGATGGCCTTCGTGAAGCTTCCCCCTTCCTCTCTTCCGCAACCTCCTCCTCTCGTCCTCTCTCCTGAGGCTCCTTGACTCATTGGTTTTCTGCCGAAAAGCATGTTTTCAGGAAATGTATCTTTTCTGAAGGAAATCTTGAAACCTCTGTTTTGTCGTTCTGCTCGGTGTTTTACGTGCACTCGTGCGCGAGAACACTTCAACCGCACAGTCAGGCCGTCAGCACAGGGGCCTCGAGGAAACACTGGATGGTCAGGGGGGTCGTTAGGGCTGTTCCCCTTGGTCCTAAGAGACGCCCCGGTCGGGACTATCCACACAGAGTGTGGTTCCACGAGGGCCCGTTCTTCTGGTGCGGAGGGCGCTGCCGAGGCGCCAGGACCAGGGGCGCTGCCCCACAGTCCATGGGGGGGGGCTTGTTAGGGTAATACCTGATTGGACCTCCGTCGGGGCATCCGTACCGAGTGTGGCTACACGAGGGCCCCAATTTTGCTTCGGAGCTGCGCCGCCGAGGCGCCTGGCCAGCTCGGCCTATCCCCATCAACCTTTCCCTCCTGGCACAGGGGGGGGAGGAAGGGGAGGGGGATGGGACACGAGCTGCCCCACAGGTCGGGGGGTCGTTAGGGTTGTTTCCCATCTGGCGAGAGGCCACTCGCGAGGGACAAAACATGGGCACCTCAACTTTAGATTTGGGGGGGGGAGGCCATTGGTACTGTTCAGACGACGACGACGACGACGACGACGACGACGACGACGGCGGCGACGACGACGACGACGACGACGACGACGGCGAGGACGACGATAGAATAACAAAAGCTGCATAAACAGCATTTCCCTAAAATCAGGGCAGGTTTCTTGGATCGGCGCCAGAGGCGCCGCCAGTGGGGCCCAGGCGCCAATCCAAGAAAGCCGCGCGGAGCTCAGAAAAACTTTGTTTATGCCGTTGATTGTTGCTCTAGTATCGTCGTCACCGCCACCGCCGTCGTCGTCGTCGTTTCGTCGTCGTTTTTCATGTTTCGACGTGTTTGTGTGTTTCGACGACGACGAAGGTGCTGACCTGGCCCAGGCCGTAGGCGAGCCCGTCCGCCGCTCCTGAGGGGGAAGAGAAGGTACCGATGCCACTACTCCACGGACATCTCCCAGGGTACGTCCTGACCAAAATCGCCGACGGCCTCCCAGAAGGCCCAAACAGGCGAACACGAGGGAAGGGCCGCGGTGTCAGTACCGTTTCCTCCTCTGAGCTCCGGTGTTCTCCGTGAGGGCCTTTTTCGCCTCCGCGAGGGCCTTCAGCTCCTCCGCGCGGCTCTTGACCTCGGCCTCGAAGTCCTCGCGCGCGGCGGGTCGCTCCAAC